ATCTTCGGGCTTGCGCCCGATAGCCAAGCTCGAACGGGCATCTTGGTTTTTGTTGACAGATTTAGCAAGATGACACATCTAGTGCCTGTTCACGCTACGATCACCGCGGCAGAAACCGCGGCGCACTTTATTGACGCAGTGTTCCGTCATCATGTCCTGCCAGAAACATTGTATCGGACCGTGATCCGAACTTCACGTCCGCATATTGAACGTCACTGTTCGAGCTTCCCGGGACAAAACTGCAGATGTCGACGGCGGCCCATCCGGAAACGGATAGGAAAACCAAGCGCGTGAACCGAGTTGTCGAAGACGTTCTTCGAAATAATGCTGCGTCATTCAGAGATTGGAGTGCATCTTTACTGCCCGCTGAGCATGCACATAACAACGACGTACACGCGTCAACAGGGTTAACGCCATTTTGTGTGAATTCGGCTCGTCACCCTCGAGTTTCTACTCTCCTTGCCGTGGGGCGACCCAGGACACCTAGTGGCTACACTTTAGGGGGGATAATGATGATAAACAAGATCGAGTGCAGCTCACGGTATTTTGAGCGCGAATGTAGTAACCCGATTCTTGGCGAAGATTGCTGCTTTGACGCCACAAGACGTGGCGTTCCCATTATCTCGATGGACTGCGTAGACATTAAACGACCTGTCTTCTGGTAACCATTTGACTACTGTCAACTACGCGCCGATTGAGTCGGCGCGACTAATTGTTGATATGGCTGTGTCGGAATTTGTACTCCAAAGTCAAACCATCACCCGGTTTGTACGCGACGCTCTACAGTTTACGGTAGACCAACAGAAGGAGAACGCTGACAAACATGACACAAAGAACATGAACAAGCTTGAGAAAGGCGATCGTGTATTATCGTCTACCGAAGGTCTAAGGGATTCAGCGGTCGCTAACCTGGGCGCGAGTAAACTCGTGCCACGCTTCATCGGTCCATTCAAGGTTCTAAAGACAATCGGCGACGCTTATACACGTGACGTCCCCTCGTCATTGCGACTCCACCCGACATTCTACGTCGGTCGGCTAAATGAATTTCTCCCGGCTACGCTTCACGGTTTGGCTCCGATGCCGGCTCCAGGGGTCCGTAAGACGATCGGACTTCCCGGTCATCCCGTCGTTCTCGACGCGCCGTTGTGATCAGACGCGGTTGTGATGCCGTCTGTACACGGCCAAGGACCTGGAGCTTCAGAACCCTCACCCGTTCGAGCAGTTTACGGTTCGACTGCCAAGTCTCACACGCAGTCTTCTCTGCCTGGGCAGCACGCTCGAGGGCCTCAGCTTCCAGCTGAGCATCGGCAGCCTTGGTTACGGCCTGATCAACATCGTCCTGGGCAACCAGGACGACAGCATTACCATCGCGAGGGCCCTCCTCCGCTTGCTGATGCGGAGGGACAGGTGCGCTGGATTGTAACCGCATTATGGATCACGAGGACCCTCTCCAACCCGTACTGCAGTCGGCTTACGGGAAGGGCGTGGTTCCATCCACGCGCAGGTACCGAGTACGTTGACTAAGATTCCTTCCTGATCAAGACACATGGGAACCGCGTTCCCTACTTCTTCATGACGTTCGTGATGTGGTTCAGTAGTACAAAACCACGAAGTCGGGCTATTCCGATGCGAGCGTGTACGTAAACGCTCTCGTGATAAACTAGAAAGTTGACAACACCCACACCGTCGAGAACGAGAACGATGCCGCGAACGAGAACGTAGTAATAAATTCATTTCATTACGATTGCGAGGCGAAAAATCGCGCAACAGGACGGGCAGACGATCGTGTAGCCGCCCTACGCTAATCATTTAGCGAAGATTGACTCCGCTGTCGCGAGTGGTGCTGCCAGCGAGGCGCACCACGAATAACCGCGCTTCTCCGTTCGCTCAGAATACGATTATATTTTGCAGTTCAACTTCGTTCGCGTTCGCTGAGTGGACACTCAGCGATGTGTCGTCGCCATTCGTCATGAGTTGGGCGTGGAGTCGAGTCACAAGATTGGCATCCTTCATTGACATGGACGAAGCAGAGGCGGCCCTCATTCCTGCATTCTTACACACCGTTTCGCGTAGCGCGCCGATGGAGTGATCGGCGCGAAGCTCCTCTTGATTGGCGAGCCATAATTGGAAGCTGCTACCATCCTCGAGCTTCCAATTCCAACGCCGGATGAATACGCACCAGAAATGTTGCAGGGCTTCGTATGCGATTTCTACAGGACTCTTTATGCGTAATTCGCGGAAACGCCAAATGTATTCCTGCATCTATTCCAATTAATACAGAGCGCGAGCTCCGGACAAGTCATACAGTGCCCGAAAGATATGTTGTTGGTCCATCACATGGATGTTTTGTTCATGGCACCTATGACGCCTCCCGGCGACGAGTCAAAGACTATTCGAGATCTTACGAAAGATATATCGACGAAGCGGTTGAGTACAATAGTGACACTGTCTTCATGGGACCCGATGATTCCCTTACAACCACACTTTAGTGTAAATATGACATTGAATCCGATAGCTAGTGACGGTACGTTCTAGCCCCGTTACATTAATGTAATGGGGAAGCCTATTGCATAAGTAGTTATAGGAATAATACATAATTACATAAGTAGGCATAGGGCAGTATCCGATAGCGGATATTGCGCGTCATATTATTATTAATTTGAGATTGGGCTGTCAAACCCAATAATTATCCAATAATAAATCGACTTCCAAAATGAGTGGTTCCCATGAGCTAGGGAACACATTCGCATTTACTGCGAATCAAAACTAAACAAAAATGAGCGGAGTTATATTAGAGAATTCACACTACGCCCTTTCAGTGTAAAACGGTAACAGAAACTCACCCCGTTACAGGATACCCTGATATCTATGAGCATTGGGTGATACGTGATCCTTTACTAAATATGAAGGACATGCCAAAACTTTGGGAAGAAGGTACTTGAAATTGAAATGGTAGCAGCAGGCGCGCGATCCGCACCGAAGAATAATCGAGCGCGCGCGATCTAATCTTCTGGATGTACTATGGATTGCTTGAAAGATGTGGACTTTATGATATGCGTGGATTACACAACGCGATCCAGCGATCCGCGATCCTGATGTGGGTATCATAATACAAGGAGACGGTCGTGGCAGCGTATTCTGCAATATAGATAGTCACAGTCGTAGGTTTAGGTCTTTATTGGCTAATAAAACAAAGCACTCGCAGAGGCTTCTCTTATGATCGGGGTATATTTGGCCTCCCGACATTAAAATATTCTGTTGCACTACTACGCACGCTGCGCTGCCTACCGTAGCCCACGCAACGAAATATATACTACCCCTTGTATCTTGGACCCATGAAGGCCACCTAATTCAGTATCTATATTTTTTTGGCCAGGAATTATAAGGTCTTTCAAGACAACAACTCCAACTACTGTCGAACGCAGCACGCAAGCAAGAGCAGACACCGATACAGGAGATCAAGTGGTCAGAAGCAATTAACTGGTCAGAGAAATTAGGTGGTCAGAAGAGATCAAGTGTTCACAAGGCAAGTCGGTTGTCAAGTCAACGGTCAAAAGAAAAGATCGCGGGGACACAACAAGAGCGGCTAAAGTGACCTGCGATCGTGTAAAAATTTCCACGCAAACATTTCCACGCAGTGACGCTGCCCTCCGCCTACACCTACCAAGATTAGGATCAACATCGACTCAAGTTCACCGAGAAGATTGCCACCCGCCCAACCGACAGGTACACAAGGCGAGAAGGAATAATACACGGAATCGGAGTACCCCTCCGTTAGTCGGTCGTCTGGGCCAGAAAAAGCTGGATCACATCCGCAATTTTGTGAACCTCACTCAACTAAATTTGCTCTCTCGCGACCGAAAAAGCTGTATCTGCTCGGTAGCTGGACGCGTCCGTATCTGCATTGGGCTTATAATCTGTAGTTGTATTGCGTGTATGGGAGATACAGAGAAAGTGGCTGTTACATCATCATATCCTTATGCACCGTTGTACCTTTTCCTGACCTACAAAGCTTCCTGCCAGCCACTCGGGTTTACTTGCGCAACTTCGCATCTTGTTATTATTTTTCCGTCCAAAGTGGTTGACCGACACAGTGTGCGTCTATAGGCTGGATCGGTTAGTCGATTATCTTCCAATACTAGTACGAATATTTGGTCTCGTTCGACAATTGACAATGGAACTCATCGCTCCTGATGCATGTTAAGTGTGCTATCTGCAGTTTTTTGCCAATTTCTCGTCCACAGGTCGTGCCATGCTATCTGCATTTGCATCACAATCCACCTTTTTGAAGCAACAAATCGTGTAAGCCACAAAATTGTATCTAATCTTTGCTAGTTGTACCAGTCATGTGGTACACATCTTCCAGTCCTTGTTATGCCCAGTTACAATAATGATCGTCCTATTCAAGTTCAAGCCGGATTGAGGTCGAGAGCAAGAGCTTAGTTAACGAGTCCGACCCCGGTTACAGTATTAGCTATCTCTGAGAGCCAACTCAAGAATATACAGAAACTTTAAACTTAGCTAGACGTATAAGCTTACTCGTTGTATAACAAGTAAATTGTTACAAGTCTGTGTTGTAGTGAACACATCAATTCACCTGACGACCAAGGGTCGCGGCCAACTCGATGCGCTTCGTCAGGGCCGCGATTAAAGTCAAGGTCGCCAAGGCAAGTAGCCGCAAGGACGAGGACATTTTTCAAGGGCAAGTGTTTATGCCCTAAACGTTGCAAGTTGAATGGCATCAATGTAGCCACGTGGTTCCAAATACGTTATCACAACCTTTCCTTGTACCGTGAATAGCTATTTTCTCCTAGCGGTTCGATTGCTACTTTATGATTGGTGGAACCATGTTATACTCTTCTATGATTGGTGTACCTTGCTCTTCGCGGGAAACTGCCGTCGTCCAAATCCAAAAATCCGTCTGACTGGCAGAAAAGAACTCGACGCCGACGGGTCCGACCGCTCCCTTCCTGTTTCCCGTTTTATCTTTTATAATTCTCATGGCCCCTGCAGACGACGCCAATTCCGCGACTGCGGCCGCTGAGCCCACTGTGTCCACTCCCTCCGCCCCAATTGAGGAGACCTCTTCTCTTGCGCCTACGCGCGGTCCATCCGCACGCAAGGCCAAGACGGCCGCCGCCAAGAAGGAGGCACCAGCTTCTGATGTTTCCCCGAAGGCCAAGAAGCCTCGAACCAAGAAAGCTCCTGCCACTAAGAGCTCAAGCGAAAGTGGCCCATCGTACTTTGACCTCATCGTTGAGGCTATTAAGGAGTTAAAGGAACGCAACGGCTCGTCCCGCCAGGCCATTGGCAAGGTGGTGGAAAATAAAAAGAATAACTATGCCAGTCACCACCTGAACAAAGTTCTACGAACGGCTGCCGAGGCCGGCAAGCTCATTCAGATCAAGGGATCGTACAAACTGTCGCCCGAGCTTCGTAAGCCCGCGGCCTCAAAGAAGAAAAGTCTTAAGGTCTCGGAGTCGTCTGCTAAGACGGTCAAGAGGGTGGGCAATGCGAGCATGAAGGCACCTAAGTCTAATAAGATGGCAGCTAAAAAGGTTGCTGCTTCGAAGAAAGTGGCGGCCAAGAAGGCACCAGCTAAGAAGATGACGGCGAAGAAAACGACTGCTACAAAGGCCCCGTCGAAAAAGGTTTCGACTGAGAAGGCAGCGGGCAAGAAAGCCACTGCCAAGACAACGAAGAAAACAGTCAAGAAAACAGCCAAAAAGTAATGCTTTACTTGTTGCTCTTACTGTGCTACTACTAAAGGTCGGTGATTTATTGTGGGTGTGGGCTTAAAAACAAGCTCACAAGCTTCATTGCTACTACGCCATTGACCTTTCTCTTTATCCCTCGGTGTTTCTTAACACCACCCTTGTTCATCAGAAATTGTCTATACCTTACAAAATGTATCATTTCATCTTCCTTGTATTAGGGGGGGGGTTGCTGTTGTGGAGAGAGTCTAAACTGTCATGACAAAATGAAGCTTGAAAGGTCGTATCCAAATTTGGCACAACAGCCTGCTTATCTTTGGTCATGTTACCTGATCGCAATGCAGAAATACTAGTATCGTAGACGAGCTTAGACCTATTATTCTGCACCACAGACCCCTTCTGGACATATTTGGCGTCAAACCCTGGCTCAGGTACTGATAGGTATCCGAATTACGTGCTTCAGTGTAACAAACAGAAAGTTCACTGAAGAGACTTCCCGATTTGGGCTCAGGAGCAACCAACGGCCCAGCGACGAAGGCTCCAACGAGCCGTCATACCGGTCCTCTTACCTTGGGCGGGAAGTCCTCAATCATGGGGCCAAGATTGAACGGGAGATGCCTTATCTCCGCTGCGCAGCGCGAGCCTGACGGGGAACAATAAGCACCAAGTCTCGAGGTATAGCGCACGTCGACAAGCAGTGGGTAACCTCCACCTAGGCACTAACAAGTTCCTGCCTTCCTCTGTTCCGCCTTTTAGTTGCCGGACCGTTCGCCGAGCGCGACTTCCGGTTCCACGAAGCGAACTCTCTTAGAACGTGATTCCGTCCGTTCCGGGAGCTGCATGTGAGGAATCAGTTAGGCTGGCCCGTCTGGCCAGCCGGTTTGGTACCAGGGGTGGCAGGCATAGGTTTAAATGCATTTGGTGTAAGCAAGTTAGATTAATTTTTTAATGGCCCCAAACGTAGGTTTCGATTCAATGACAGAAGCTTAAGTCATCGAGATTTTAGTTTCGATTTCCAATGCTACCTAACGCCAAAATTAAGATATCACTATTAGAATTGACCAAGAATAAAGAAAACAAAATCAATTGTTATCGTCCTGGAGGAGCTTCTTACCCCAGAAGGAAACAGCACCACTAGTAGATTAAAAGAAAGATCGTGCCTTGAGCGATTTTTGACGGTCTTCACAGATGTTTTAGATCCTCCAATCAGTAGTATGTTACCTGCAAGCAATTGTCTCGATTTACAAGGAAGTCGACAAAATCTTACTTGCATACATCTTGTTTTACTAAACATCTTCGCAGGAGCCAACTGGTTCGACAGAAAAAAAAGTTGAAATGCGTCAAAGAAAGCCCTCCTATGCCTTTATAAGGTCAGCTAATGAAGTTTACGATATTCCGTCATTACTGTTTGATCGATGGCAGAGCCACACCGATCAAACAGATCGCAAACATTAAAACCTATTTTCCGCTTTAAAAAATTTGTAGGTTTTGCCACCCCAGTTTGGTACCCGGCCTCACTTCAAGGCGCCGCCTGCCCCTTGCATGTGCTCGAGTTTGGTCAATGGTCCCACATGCTCTTTGGAGTGTCCCTCGTGAAGATCGTCGGGTTAAGACAGCAAAAGGAGTTCCAGTGCATAGGAAAATACGTAGTCATGGCAGAAGAACAGAGGTTTCCCTCACAGACAGATCTTATTAATCATTAGGTTGTAGATGGACAGTCTGATCAACACCAAGGGATATTGCAGCACGTGAGCTCTCGGCAGTACGTTAGCCTCGCGCACTCGAACGTAGACAATGTCGAGAATGTTGAGCATTAAGTGCGCTGCGATGATATTTGCCAACGGGCTCGTGGTCAAGTACGCAAAATGCATGACGCTGTCAAGTCATTGGTCAGTGTTGAAAATCTGACTCACCACCGAATTGACATCGAAGTTCTCTGCTTTGACCTCGACCTCGACCGCCACTGCTGCTGCTGTCTAGTATTGCGCGTCAGGAAGCGATGACTGTGTTGCACCGCTGGTCCAACGGTATTACGCAGCGGGAAGTGTCTGAAATCTCTCTTCTTCTTTTTGTTGAGGAGGTATTGTCGTCTTGTTGGCCCAGCAATCGAAATTCGGGACGCATGATTCTCGACGACCGTTCAGAAGAAGGCCTTGTGTATCAGCAGCCGTCCACAGCATTCCATAATAGCAACAAACCTCCTCTTGCATGCTCGGAACCTTGGGTGGTCTGACAATGTCGTCACTGCAGCTACAACCTCTACAACAATTTGAAAACCCGCACCATCCCTCCGAATAATGCCATCTTCAATGCTGTTTTGACAACTTCTGTTCAAAACCGAAAGCCGAGTCCGGGCGAAGAGAGTGATAAAAGTATCGCGTTTAAGGATAAGTCAAAGTCAAGACGCCATCTGCAAGACCTGTTACAGATCACGTGCGCCTCGCACCTAGTTGGAAATGGTGTCTTAGAAGGAAGGCTAATATCAGCTGTAAATATATTTTGCTTTTGCTTTATTACAATTATGTTACCTATTTTACTAACAATTTATGGAAGTATTTTTGCAAGCGACAACTTGCGTGGCTTCTCAAAGATACACCCAATACATGCATCTCAGAGCTGACCAAAACAAACTTTACGCAACACTAACATTTTTATCGAGCCAACCGATTACGTGAAGGGCATCGACTTCAAAAAATAACAAAATGTGGTCGCCTCGTAGCTTGCTTTTAAGCGTCGATAAGGCGTTCGCGTCTTTTTACATGATCTCTTCACTAACTGTTATAGCCGAATGTCTACATCCTCTGTCACAACCCAACCTAAGCACCGCGATCGGATATCAAAACGAAGGCGAAGACACGATCACATCGACGTTCACATTCACTTAAGTGGAATACGTGAAATAATAGCTATTAGTCGGATGATGGATGTCTTGTTGATAAAAGAGAAAGCCGGTGGCGGTTATGTTAATGTCAACGTCCACTGCAACGCCCGATACCTCGACTAAAGTGTCGTCTTGTTCAGCGTTAGCACAGAAAGTGGCACAACGATACCCCAGCTACGATTAATCATGCATTCTCAGGTTATGTGTACGCCAATGGCTCGATCACTCTGCTGATGCGTATTAGTACGTGAGATATACCGCAGGAGACTACAGATTGCCATGAGTCAATCGGTGTATAACTTATGCGCAAGCGACCAGATAGAAACTATCGTTGTCTCCTGCGGTTAGCGTGCGTGACAAGCTACTTTTCAATGTGGTAATTGCAGACTCACGATCAAAAAGTCCCATTTACAACTGGTTGCCCATTTTCGCTCTTGCAAAAAGGCAGAAGCGCCTCCCAAAAATTATTTAATATTTGATGACGCCTTACCTATGTCCAAGGCATCATTTACAATTTTTAGGCGTGCTTGTATATGTTGTAAAGCCAATCTAGTCGGTCTTCTACCGCTAAATACAGTTCTCATCGTCTCGTAGAGCTGATCCGATTCTTCAGCAAATTGTTGGTCTGGATGGTGCTCACTCCAAGCATCCTCGATACAACAAAATTGGGGAAAACAAGACAAGAATTGTAACAGATAATACATTGTAATAACAGTTGCCAGACACGTCGCATCCGACCTGGAGGCCTTCAGTCGCGCCTCGGAGCACACATATCTGCAGGCTGAACTTCTACTGATATCCATTGACGTTGCCAACACATTAGCATACGCTCTTCACTCGCAATATTGCGAGCTGCTCACTGAGCTTTGCCCTCAGCGAAAGTGCGTGCAGATGCAAATTAGATGCAAATGTACGATCATTTGTACTCTCATAGTCATGGACTGTAAAAGAGCCTGAGGATCGTCAATATGGCAATCTTATTCAGCTCAATAATTGACCGACAACACGACTGACGCGAGCATCTTCATGTCCCAGAGGCTCTGAATCAATAGCTCAATTCGTTTAAGATCACCACTTGAGTATCCTCTCTGGCCCAGCAGTCGTCTTCGACCGTCGGTTCTGATAGTGAGACTAGGCTGCCTGCTGGATCTTTTTATTCCAGTGGCCGAGCCAGCTGGCTTGCAGTGATTAACGATCATCTCGGCTGCGGTCCTGTCGCACTCGTGGAAGTAACACTTGAATATTTGGCTCCAGCACAACAAATCGATTCGGCAGCGACGAAGCGATGGCTACTGCTACTTAGCGACGCGAGCGTTGACCACTGCTACTGAGCGACGATTGCTGCTCGCCATTAATCTCGCTGTACAATGTCGTCTATCGAGCACTCTCTCGCCTTCTTTAGCAGTCGCTTGTTCGCAACGTGCACATGTAGCTAAACGATTAGTCTTGCCTTCACCTGCCCACGAGTTTGTGGCGGCTACAGCAGGACGAACGGTGCAGGCTAGGGCGAAAAGCGACAGTCATGCAATGCTTTTGCGAAATCCAAACTTTTGCAGCTTGCCCGTCTGCATATCCTACGTGATAGATAGCTGTGTCTTCCGCACACCCCGCTACTTGCAACCGGGTTTACGGGTGGCATGGTAGCACATCAACCATGCCGGGGCAGATGCGACACTAGGTTTTATGTCGTGGTGTTGCAGATGACAAAGTGGTTCAGGAGCCTCACGCCCATTGTGACGCTTTCACAGCGGTGATGGCTAGCTGCTGCGCAAAGTTGCTGTTTGCTCGCGCATCCAAAGATGCTCACTAAGCTGAGGGCGTTGCCATGCGAGCGCAGACCCGGAACTCCGACAACGGCGCTCGGAGCTGCACCTGGAGCCGCATTGCCACGAACGAGCACAATATAGCCATGTCTACGGTGTGCAGCGCCGCGGCCGCGTGCGAACTTATCGCTGAGAGCTCTCGCGAGCCTACACGGCGCCCTACACAGCTGGCCAACGAATCTGTGGATGCGATGTAGCACAGACTTGAACCGCTTGGCTGTGTACCGCGACTGACCAACACACGACAGATTGCGTTTGTCAATTGGCGATCAAAGGACGTCGAAAGAGCGTCCCACGGAGCTAGAAATTGGAGTAGCACCCTTGAGTGTGCGAGTACGGTGGCCAACTAGCGTGTTGGCTGCATTGGTAATGCCCAAGGGCGCTAGACGGTCCAACGCTTAGAACCTCGATCTTTGGAGTGAAAACAGTGCTCAGTGTCGGTCTACCGTCGTCATTATCTGGTCGATCGGCACGCATGGCATTTGGACTCCAATCTGGACTTGTGGAGCCACAGTGGCCTAAGTCGATCCATGCCATGTGTGTACTCGTGTTACTCTGAGACGCGTTACACTCTAGGAAGATTGCGATACGCTCGCGTTGTGTCGACATTATGACGCCGTGTTGCGAACGGCAGCAGCGGCAAGTTGCGAACGGAGCTCTTGACCTGAAGAACCGTGTAGCTATTTGTCAGATAGGCCATGGACACAATCTTACTGCAGGATGCTTACGACACGATCAGTTTGATTGAAGCGACCAGCAGATCCTGTCGCGGTGATGTCGGACTATTAATCATTCAAGATGGCGTTTGAAAGCACTTTCAGCTTTCGAAGCGATGTCACGTTCTGCTCCCGTCGTTGCACAACGCTCGTCGTCTACCGTATGGAACTACTTTCAGAATCAAACCGCTACAACTGATGATCACCACCGATCGGCAATTTACTTCACTGTTTTCGTCATCGCGCGCCGCGCTTTTCACGCTCCGAGTTTACAACGACGCACGCCTTTCTGTGCCGCTCTCTAGTGCCACACGCTTCGCTCACCTGCTCGTAAGCTATTCACCATATCTTCATTTCGAAAGTTGCTTCAAAGCGCACCAGCTCAGTCCACCATCCATATCCACCAGCCAGCCTCGACCAACTCTTTGCACAGCAAAGATGTCCAGCACCAGTGCCGACTTCGAACTTTCTGAGCTGCAGAAGTACTACCATCTGCCGCTGCGGGAAGCTGCACGCCGCCTCGGTAGCTGTGAGGCCGTGGTCAAGCGCGTCTGCCGCCGGAAGCAAATCCAACGGTGGCCGTACCGTCAGGTGTCGTCCAAGCTCATTAAGATTCAGCACTTGTGCAAGTACATGGCGCACATGTCGGACGCCGAGCAGAAGGCTCGCATTCAGCAAAAGATTAAGCAGCTCACGCAGGAATATCTGGAGCTCGTCGGCGGTCAAGTGCCGACCGAGCTGCAGCTCACGCCTGCTGACGTGCCGGCCCTACCACCGCCGAGCTACAGGGGCGACACCCCAATGGATCCAGCCGTGCTGGCCGCTGCTTCCGACGATGATGCCGGCCACAAAGAGGAGGATGATGACATGGACGATGATGCTACCGAGTCTTCCGGCGAGCAGCGGCTGTCCGCGTACTCGCTGCGCTTCATCCTGTCCGACTGCACAGTGCTCGAAACTGACACAGGCCTTCACTTCAGCACCACCGCATAGATGTTCGTCAACGTGGCGTCACGATGTAATTTGTCTGCATGTTCAATTACGACGATTAATCGTCGATCAAGTCTGCATATTAGATAGAGCCAATACACGATCACCAGCAAATTCTGGACAAATGCTGGCAACTAAACATCTTCCTAATCAAATACTGCGCTTCATTCCATTGTCATTCTAGAGTCATACGAACCGCTGCGCGCCTGACTAACTTATAGCAAGTGCCATCGTAGACAAATTATATCTGGTCCAGCGGGTCAATGCCAAGCAACGAAAAGCACGTCTTCATGACCTTGAGTGTGGCGTCACATAGCAGCAGACGGCTGCTCTGCTCCTCGCTACCTAGCACACGGCACGCCGTGACGAACGTCTGCACCTTCTCTGAGATCGTGTACAGGTAACTGCACAGTCGATTGGAGTTCAGGTCCTTGTTGATGAATCCGATCACGTCTTGCAGCTGGAGTAGCTCGATGACCAAAGCCTGTTCTGTTGGGTGTTCCGGCTTCAATACATTACCATCCTTCTGCTGCTGCGCCACGAGTGCAGCCATGTCAACACCGGACTTCCGGATAATCGAGGACAGACGGGCGTATGCAAACATGAGGTACACAGCCGTGTCACCGTTCGTCGACAGCATGCGATCGAAGCTAAAGATGTAGTTGGACGTAGGGCTCTGGCGCAGGTCAAAGTATTTGACGGCACCGTACCCCAGCTTCTCAGCAGCAGCGTCAACCTCGTCCATGGGCAGCGACGTCTGCCCGGCCTCGATACGCTCCACGAGCTGCGCCTTCATACGAACCTTGGCCTCATCCAACAGCTCTACCAGGCGCACGACCTCACCCGAGCGCGTCTTAAAGCGCTTGCCTGACTCGTCATTCACCGTGCCGAATCCAACGTGGTCCGCGCGCTGCTTGGTCGGGTCATAGATACCTGACATGCGGCCCACTTCAAACAGCAGGTTGAAATGGTCCTTTTGCGTATAGTCCGTGTAGTAGATAACGCGGTCGGCCTTCATCTCGTGCAAACGATACCACAGAGCAGCGATATCCGTCGTAGCATACAGATATGAGCCATCACTCTTCACCAGCAGAAACGGCTGCTTGTATACCTTGGTGAACACTACCTCAGCACCATTGCTCTCCTCCATGAGGCCATTGGCTCGCAGCTTGTCCAGAACACTCGGGATGATCGGGTTGTAGAACGACTCGCCCATTTCCTTCAGTGACACACACAGACGGTCGTACACCTTTTGAAACTCACGGCGACTGATGTCGCACAGAGTTGTCCAGACCTTGCGAGATTTTTCGTCACCGGATTGGAGCAGCACGACCTGCGCCTTGGATCGCTCATGAAACTCGGCATCGACGTCGAAGCGCTCCTTCGCGGCCTTGTATAGCTTCGTCAGGTCCGTCACGTTGGGCATCTCCGACTCCCAGTTCGGGTACGTCTCTGTGAGATGGCATATCAGCATGCCGAACTGAGTACCCCAGTCACCGACGTGGTTAATGCGTTTCACGTCGTGACCTTGGAACTCAAGAATTCGGCACATGGTGTCGCCAATGATCGTGGAACGCAGGTGACCCACGTGCATGTCTTTGGCAATGTTAGGAGACGAGAAGTCAACAACAATCGTCTGTTGCTTCTGCGGGGCCGGCTGCACACCATTCACCAGCACGTTTTGCAGTCGCTTGGCCACGAAGTCTTTGGTCAAAAAGGCGTTTATAAAACCCGCGCCAGCAACACTCAAGCGGTCCAGCACACACGTCTCAGGCATGGCAGCAATAATAGTATTGGCGACATCTCGCGGCGAGCGCGCAGCGTGGGGCGTACCATTAAGCGCCGTAAAGATGGACATGGCCGAGTTGCACTGGTAGTCGCCAAACTTTGCGTTTTTGACGTTGGTGCGTGTAACCTCCACAGGTGGGATTGTCAGACCAGGGTACCCCGTCTTAATGGCGGCGTCAAAAATACACTCGACCACTTCCAAAATATTGTGAAAGGTCAGGCCTTGCTCCAGATTTTGGTCCAGCTTGAACGTGGAGCGCATGACGTTCTTGACAGCCGCGGCCGGAGTGCCGGAGGCTGCGCCAGGAGCAACGCTCTTGCTCTTCTTGCCGGCGTTCTTCATGCTGGCCACGCCCTTAGCAACGTCAGCGCGGTCGAAAAGCCGAGTCACGTACTTGCGGAAGGTCTGGAGCACTGCGGCCTCTTCCTTCTGCTCCTTAATAAGCTTGAAGGCGGCGCGTAGCGTAACGCCGGCCACAACGTCAGCCAGAGAGAGCTCCGAGCCAAAGAGGAATTGCAAGTCACCGCTGTTCTTGGAGCGAGCCTCTTCTTTGGCTTCCAGCATGGCGACCAGCTCGCCGGCCAGCTCGCCGGACTTGTTGCTGCTGGCCGCCTTGGCCACGCGCAGCCATGGAGACAGTGTATTGGCCTCCCATTCCATCCACTCATCCACGGCCAAATCGTCACTCTGCAGCTGGTCGGCAGTTGCGGCTACGTAGCGACAGATGGCATTCGCCGAAAAGAGCAGCTCAACTTCCGGTTTGACGGCCAATTGTGGGCCGTAACTCGCATATTTTTTGTCCGCAACACCCACGGAGAAGGCAGTATTCGTAAGTGAAAGTGTCAAGAAGCACTTGAGCTCCTCATCGCCTGGTTTCTTGCCAATCAGGAGCTGCATGGTCAGAAGAAGAGGTGGACGGGATCCAACTATGTGCTGACTGGCTAGGAAGGTCTCTGTACTGTAAATGACAGAAGATAAATCACTATTTTGTTCTGTCTTTATGTTTTGTCGAGGGCGTTATAATACGACATGTACGGAGGAAGTAGTCCCCTCACTTATTAAAATTTATCAATGACAGGGCGGTCTTCGTCCGACAGAGCGCGACGTAATGCAGCCGTGCAGCGTCTAATGGACAACGCGGACCAGTCCTTAAGTCTTCTGGCGTCTCTAGGTGACGCGCCGACTCTTACTGCAGGCCTCATACCAGACAGTTCATTAGCCCCGAGCTCCGAGAGCTTCCACTTCTCGTCTACATCGACAAACTTTGGTATCCCTGACGATGTCAATGTGGCAGCAAGAGATGAGACGGAAAACAATGACACGCGTGTACTGGATCCTGTGGTCCACCCGTCGGTACATCACGGTCTCCTGCACGTTAAGGGTGTATTCCCCGACCAATCGACGGAGTTTGTGGACGTGGACCCTCGTATTACTACAGTAAGAGACTTGAAACACGCTCTATGTGAATGCAGAGATTCAGCGAGGGCTTTAGGCCTTCCAGCCAGAGACGCTCGCGTCATGTTTGGTGGACAGGTCGTGGAGGACGCGTGGCTCGTCGTAGACTGCGGCGTGGGCTTTGAAGGGGCTATACACATTGTCAAGGCCACTACAGTCGCGAATAGTTTTTTTAGCCGAAGTGGCAAGAAGACGCAACGCCCAGACCCCAAGCTGTCCATCTCTTCGATTTCTTCCGTGTATCAACAGGAGCAGCCTAGCAATGATGAGGTGATGCATCAATTGGCAACGTTCAATCATTCGCTGTCTCTTGGCAATGTGCCGTCGTCCAGAGGTGCCTTATTCTCACGTCATGTGCGACCGGAAGAAGCTTTTTTTGCAGAGATGGTGGCGGACTTTTACGACAACTTGGAGCGTGTGGAGGACTCGGATCTGTACTGTGAGAAGCTGCTGATTGGATACATTGATGTCTTGCAGACGAGGCTGGAAAAGCTTGAGGCTGCACTTCCAGGCAACTGGAACACTCGTGGAACGTCCATGATGGCGCAAGAACGGCTACAAAACGACATTACTGAGCTGCGCGACGAACGCAACACTTGGAGACTGCTGTTTGAGCTACGACAGGTGTGCCGTACGAGTAAGAAGCTATCAGATGGAGAAGACAGATCAATGATGCTCGATGCAGGGGCAGAGGAACTGCAGTTCGAGATGGTGGAGGACGACGCAGTGCGGCTACTGGAAACACGTAATGAAACGTTCAAGGTCCAGAAGGCGGTGATGACGTGGCTGGAGAGCATAGCACTGGAGAGCACATTAAACATTAGCGACAAGCGTGGAGCTAGCGGATCGCGCACGTTGAGAATGATGCGGAAGAATGTTTTCTCGGGAGAAGGGATTAACATGGACCCTGATGCAGTGTTGCGCGACGGGGATGACCGCATTCTGCCCGATGACATGGAGGACGAAGCGGAGTTGATGAAGGCTGTCTGGTTGTTTATCCGTGCAGGACGAATGAGCGATGCAATTGATCTGTGTATCCGTTCAGGGCAGCCGTGGAGAGCGGCAAGCCTCTCGGGAGGTAACTTTGTTGGCGCGAGTGAAACGAACGAGCGCAAAGATTTGCAGGTGGAGCGATGGGGAAATCCGCTCCGTGTACTTTGGAAATCAATGTGCTGGCGCTTGTCAGAGCAAGCTGCTGACAGAAAAGTACTCAAGAGCAACAGCTTACTTGCAAAGAAGTACGAGGAACTTATTTATGCAGCATTGAGTGGCAACATTCCGATTATGACAAAGAGCTCACTATGCGAGAGCTGGGAAGACCACTGCTGGGCTTTTTTGCAGGGAATCACCGAACAGCAACTCGACGAAATCATGTTCAAGCTTCTGAAGGTGAAGATGCAGTCGTCTCAGCTGATCGTTGGCAGTAACGCCCACTATCTACGTCATTTCTCGAGTTTGCTAGAAAAGACGAAGTATTTAAAGCGCTACCAAGCGGACCTGGACATGCTGTTTGACGAGCTGCGAGGTAGTCAAAGCGAGCTTGTCCGCATGCAGGCCAACCAACCTCACCGCCAAATCCAGGCCAAGTTGGTTACAGCAAAGTTTCAGTACATTGTATCGAGCGTTTTGGACACGCTTCTGCTGAACCCGAAGGACGATTCATACCACTGGGACTTGCAGCTGGACTCGACGATAAAGTCAGATGAAATTTCTTCGATATTTCTTCGTTTTGCCGCCCACTTTATCATGTTCGCCAGCTTCACTGGTGAACAGTTTGACGAGCAGGCGGGCCACATGATTGTGAAGCTATACATTCGGCATTTGGTGAAGCATCAACAGCTGCAGTTTGTACCAATTTATGCCTCTCGGCTCCCTACAGTAGGTGCGATTGAAATCTATGTGCAGATGCTGTCTTCGGTCGAAGATACTTTAGAGCGTGAGCTTTGCGTCAAGCGAATTGTGGAAAACGCTGGTATGGATGTATTGTCGACAGTGTTGCAAGTTGTAGTCGAGCGTCTGTGTGACAGATATCGATTGGTGGCTCAACAACAGCAACAAAAGAAAGGAGAACTCGTGTCTTCTGACGTTCCAACGACAGACATCGACAGGAGGCGAATCCGGACGATTGGGATCTTGTGCTTCTACCCCGAACACCGGGCAGAAATGTTGATCCGTGCAAATTTGCTTACGCGACAGTTTCTTCTTGAGGGAAAATTTGCTGCTGTGAAGGAGCTCGTCGAGGAGAGCTTACCGAAGGACTTGATTGGAGCTTTAGAAATGAATTGTGATACCCAATTGCTTCGGGCAGACGACGAGATTAAGCGGGCCATGCGCGAGTTCCTTTGCTGGCGCGCATATGTTCAGGCTTCTACACAGTTTGATCTGTGGAGAAATTGCATTAACAATTCTGGTGCGGAGGTGCTATCACTGTACAGCAAGGAGAAGGATTACCTGGATGATTTAATGCTCCATGTGTCACGGTCGGCAGCGGCAATGTTGGAGGTGCTACACTTTGAAAACGGATGGCTTCTGGGCTGTTCTAACGATGCTAATGAGGATGTTGCTATTCGGAGGCGTTGTTTGCCGCCTCTAGTGTTCAATCTGCACTTTATCCAGCTCGAGTCAGCCAAGACGATCATGCGTTTGAGCCATTATCCAGAGGATGCCAAGGCTGAGCTTGCCCGACCTCTGCTAGAAAAGTCAATGGAAGTTGCAGACGTAGTGGCCGGCGACCACTACGGTGTGTACAATGCGCTGGATCAGGATCATTGCCGGGATCTGCTGCATGGCTTCCGTGAAAGCGCTGTAGCTCTGGCGTTCGTTGAAAGTATGGCGGTTTGTGATCAGAGTGAGCGCACCAGACTACCCTGTGACCATAAGAGAGATGAAGGCGACACAGCGAACGTGCAATCGCCGCAATAGCAACCAGACTGTCTCTGTCTGGGGGTTTGTTTCGTTACCGATGATGGTTCAACGCGATAACCTGAAGGGGGTCTGGCTGAAACCGAGTGTGATGTAGATACGATTGAGCTTCGATAACTTTGTTATCGATGGTACCGATGGAAGAAAAAGATGGTCGGAGCTGCTCCTCGTACCGCATAGCCGACAACACTGAAGGAATGACTGCTCCAATGTTGTTGCACTGTTCGTCATGCCTCAAAAAAGCTCTTAACTGAGTGAAAAAGGATTTCAGTAAAGCTTATTACCTAATCGGTATCCTATTTTAGACATTCCCGTTACAGCAGCGCGATGATAAACAAAGCACACATGCTTAGAATGCTTTCTGGATTTTGTCAACTCTTTTTCAAAACATCGCCTGTATGAATCTGTGATTGAAGACCATGCCTACTAACGTCTACGTAGTTCTGCCAATGCTGCTGACATTTGGATGGAGCTTGTTGCATTGCCTCATGAATCGAAATCTGTATATATAATCAACCGTCGTTGCAAGAAGTCGGGATTTCTTTTCAAATGGCACGGTTATAATTGAAGCAGGTTACTTCTGCTACCAAGCGAGAACTGATCAAATGCGCGACCTGTTGCAAAACGTACTTCTAGTCCTTTGACTTGGCTTGAATTATAAATGGTTTGCCTTGACGATCTGCAGCCTTACACTAGGAGAGGTAAACTTCATTATTGTACTTTGGGGCGTGCTTGCATGTACAGCCCGCGACCAGTGAGGCGTAGTCGAACAGCCAGCAGCTGTGCGGAACGTTATCTACCTCGTGTATATGGAGGTCACTGGCATGGTCAAGATTATAAATTTCATTGTACCCCACAGTGCCCCTCATGGCGACAAATTTGGAGGTGGGGGCAGAGCCGAAGAATTGGAGCCCTTTTACTGTATCGGGAAGGGGCCAAAATAAAAGAGGGGGGAGGAATTATTTTTGCTGTGTGCGCTACAAGAGGTAGCGCAACGTGCGGATCGCAAGGAAAGCGGTCCGAAAGTTAGGCCGGATACGTACGGTCACGTAGGGAGCCAGGCAAGTTTGAACAAGTTGTAATCCGAGATCCGACCACAAAGGCATAACAAGTCGACACTGCGGAGGAAGTATGTCATAATGGAACGTTAGCTTTTCTTAGTGGTAAGAGGCCCCCAGCCAGGATAGTGGACTTTCTTCTGAAAGCAGATTGATCCGAGCGAGTGAGCAGCCCAGACATTCTGTAACGGGGTTACACGACGGTTGGAACATCATATCGAAAGTTTACGGTTGAAGTTTCTATATTATATATAATGTATTCTTGAGGCTTCTCTTTAGAGAGGTATTAAGTACGAGCGTTAAGATACGGTATTCGGTCATAGCGTATCCTATCGATTAGGATTCGATAAATCGATAACGCTGTACTAAGTACATCATACACAGATGTTGGACGACACATCGTCCAATAACGAAGTCTGCATATTATAATTACTGTTATAGTAATTAATCTAGTGTAGGGTACTTAGAGTAGGACTATTCATAAAAATCTTAATACATAGATAAAATCAGTTCTCATTTTGAGTTAAAGATCTCAAGTCGTTCTGACTTGTTCTCTTGTGTACTTCGTGTGTTGGTTCTCTGAACCTCTAAGCTTCTATCTTTTTCTTGCACTCTGTGCGTTGGTTATCTGAGCCTTAAGCTATTGCATGTAGACCAAATGTCCCTTCCTTAGTTCCTTACAACAGGGTGACTTCTTGGTCGCTTAATCAGTTCCTTAGCACTAAGTGGCTTTTAGCCGTAAATTTATTTAGCCTATAGAACTACGAGGCTTTCAGCCATTAAATCTTCCTCTGACTTTAAAGCTGTGTAGCTCCGCTACAGGTAGCACTTGTAGTCAATCTTATCCCTGAGTCTGTAAGACTGACCCTCTGTGAGGATGGAGAATTATAATCAACTCTCTGAGGCGCAACGACTCGATCTAGATAATTATCTGCGTTCGTTGGGCCCGATCAAATCGAGGTTCTTTTGGCCCAAGGCCCGGAGGTCCTCAATACTCACCTTGAAGCCTTCATGCGTGATGAAGAAACGCTACTCGGGCAGGCCCACGACCAGGCAGCGTCAGCTGCGCCAACGCAATACATCCCAGTGCCTGTGCCCGATCCAGAGACAAAGACTCGCTTTCTTGTTTTAAAAGCTAAAACCTTTGAAGGGAAGGAGGGAGAAAATCTTCTCCTCTGGATTCGAGAAGTTGAAATGGCAATGGATGCCGCCATGCTTGTGTCAGCTAAGCAACGAGTTGGCCTGGCCATTTCTAAGCTCGTCGGAAGAGCTAGAGAGTGGGCTCTAACGAGCGATGTCTCTGTAAACGCTGCAATTTCCACATGGGAAATGCTAAAAAGCAATTAACTTGCGTGTTTGCACCGCCTAATCAGGCTTACTCGTGTGCGCTCACGCTTCTTAGCTACCCGACAGGGTAAGAAAGAATTGTCGGACTATGTCCAAGAGTTGAGAGCTTTCATTGCTGCATAGCAGCAGGACCCTCTGGTAGGGAAAGTCCGAGTAACCATTTTCGTGGAAGGACTTCGTACTGGGGTAGCCAGGACAGAAGTTTTTCGTGTCGAACCTTTGACTTTCGAAGAGGCAGTGAGCATAGCGTTTAACGCTGAGTTCAAATTCAAATTTGCTCGCTATGGTCTACCATGGTATAAATTCAAATGCCTCTGATAGGGCCGAGCCCATAGACCTCAGCCATGCTGAAGAAGCTGAGCTTCAAGCTGCAGAGCAGCAAGGTAACATCCGTAGATGTTACATACTAGGCACCTCCGCCCTAGCTGTCCGTTGCGAAAGCGACGTTCAAATCGGCAGAGCCGTAACCCTGCTCCCAGCCAAAAGGCTAGCACGGCAGGGGAAAACGTCAGATCCCAGTAGGCGCGAGGCGCCCTACTGGGAAAAACTAAGTCCTGTCGAACCTCTAGGAGGTAGAGGTAAAATGGCTTAGCCTCGGGTTGTAATGGGTGAGATTACACACATAACATTAACATAAATAAACAATTTCATATGTAGGCAGGTGCTGTGTCCGAATAGCGGGCAAAGCGTGGCCATATAATATTGGTTTATTATTGGGTCTTAAAGTCTCAATATGGACCAATAATGAAAATGTGTGGTTCCCAAAAGGCGGGAACACTGTCGTATTTATTACGACTTCAAAATCTTTGTAATTAGTACGAATTAATACAAAACGAAAAATCAGAGTTGAATTTGTTAAATACCTAAAACTTGGGCTTGAGTATTCCTAAAGCGCACGTGTGAACTAGTGACGGTACGTTCTAGCCCCGATACACAGGTGGATTTGTGGAAGCTTTTATGGAGCATGAATACAAGCCAGGTTGTTGGTTGTGTCGCCAATTAAGGCTTTAAAAAGCCATAGTCAATTTAATGACTTAGGGGCGTCGGGTAATTATTTCCGATGTTGTTCCCTTGAAGGAAGTTAGCTGTATCCGGAGCCGCTAGATGCGCAAGGTGGATACAGTACAACCTTTTTCCGCGACAGGTGTACGTGTTACCGTTCCTAAAGTTCCTTTAAACTTAGGTGTGAAGTTCTTAGACTTCAATAGCGTTGAGCGTTGTCTTGTCCTAAATTTGGACCCGAGATATGATCTCATTCTTGGTATGGCCTGGATGGAACGCCATGAGCCATGGATCGATTGGAGATCCAAAACCTTAGGCTCCACGCGCGATTTACCTAGCAAAGCTTTGGCGAGTCATGAACCCACCTTCGCTAGGAAAGAGAAGCGCTATTGTCCCGAGCCATTAACTGAGTCAGTTAGTGCTGTGCTGGACAATGGAGTGTATGACGCCTCGCACCGAGTTCTAGACTCGAAACACCTTCTAAGAGGAAATCCTTGACGAAATGGTTGACTACGAGAGCGACACAAACGCATGGATGACGAAGAGGCTAGGCTTAGCTCTCCTGTGGCTAATGTTGGCTCTCGTCATGAATTGAACTCAATTACTTAAACGTGGTGTCGCTGACACACTAAATTTATTGCGCTTAGCGCCTGGCAAAACGTCCAATTTTACAATAGCGAACTTGCTCGACGAGAAACAGACACAGAAGTTAAAAACGAAGGTATGATCTGCACACCAGCAAAGGTCATAAACAAACTAAAAGGTCATCTAGACTAAGTCTTTGACCCACGATCCGTTGACGAGCGTCTCAAAGCGGCCACATGCCATTCGATGAAAATATTTTCCTTACGATCGGAGGCTACTACGCCCGAGGAGCTCTTCGCGTGAATGGATCTTCGCCAAAGGTTCCCAGAGCCAGTTAAGACCATCCCCAGCCATTACAAGGCACGCCTGGATAGGCAAGCACGTGGTGCATCTGCCCCTCCCATGAAAGAAACTCCTATCTTGCTGTTCGCAGGTCAAACGGAAGATGAAGACGATAGCGCCTTTGTCCATTGGGCACATTATGTGCGGCATTCGAGTAGCATATGGACTCTTTGCGCAAGTGCCAGTGTGGCAGATGTTCGAATGAAACGGAAAATACGTTACGATTACGCTAAGCTGAAGGCCCGAGGCCGATTGCGGAAACAACGACAGTGCTATGCGCCAAACATTCAATATTCCAGTTCTTAGGCTACACATGTAGCCGCAAATTTAACTCAGGGCCCGGCCGTCAGATCACCCACTCCCACCATACTGGTAGGAGACGCCATCGACAGCATGTTTTCCTTGCGCACGACGTTCAAAAACGTCCACGGCGTATGGGCAATCCTGCCGTAGAAAAACTTCGAGTCCCAATGAGTTCTACGACTAGGGGTATCCCCGCCACTTCACCAGATACTGATTTTGGCCGTGACGACGGCGCTTTTTATAGAAGCCATTCCACATGAAACTGAAGGTCCCCCTGATCATCGAGCAATGCCGGCGGAGGCCGGTGTATCGGCACAAGCTCCTGCTGAGCTACTACAGGTGGTGAAATGTCTTCGTGAGACC